CCCTGAATCCTCCTCTGAAATTTCCTCCTCTGAAATTTCCTCCTCTGAAATTTCCTCCTGAGCTATTGCACTCACGGGCAAAGTGACCAACCTGTCCACAATTGTAACACACTTCTGGAGATTGCTGAAAGTATGGATTAAATCCTCTCTTCTTGAGCTTCCTCGTCCTCTTCCTCTCCAGTTCTGCATCTGTCCATAAACTGGCTGTGGATATGAAACAACTGGGACCACTAGTGGTGGTTGGGGCAATTGCGGTTGTTCCTGGCTTGACTGAAGCTGTGGTGGTGATTGTTGCTTTGGTAAACACTGCTCCTGCATAACCAAAGCCTGTTTCTTCTCCTTCTTCTTATTTTCCACCAGTTGTATTTGATTGAGTTTCCTGAGAGTCACTTGGTCCTGTTCTTTCTGATCATGTTCCTTTTTCCTATATAGATCCACTTGATGGGCTATATGATCTGTATAGACTCCTATTGCCATGCTTCCAAGTCCAACCACCTCTGCCAGTTTGCTCCTTACTGGTGGGGGCAACCCCATCTGTAGTTTAGCTCGCAAAATTGACCGCTCCATTTGACTCGCCTCTGGATCATTTCCTGTGATATTTCTCCACACCTGATGAGCTCTCGACACATAGGCTCTCGGATTCTCTTCTTTTCCCAATGAATCAATCAAGATATTGTCAGGATGCACATTTGTGGGAAACGTGTCTTTCAGTGCTCTCCACAGTCGATTCCTACTTGCAGCGAACAACTCCGGATCATTTACAGCAGTCCCCACATATCGATTAAGTCCCGCTCTCTGAAAAATCTCTTCCATACCTGGAATCCCCAGGAGATTAGCAAAAAGTCTCTTAATATCTCCTATGGCAGTTTGTGTTCCTACCGTAATTTCTTCCAACTTCGAGATCCAAGGATGTGCTCCATCTTGAAGAATAGGCAACTTCTCAAGTATATCTGACATATCGGTATTCTGCAAAGGCTTATACTCCAGATTCTGTCCTCGGATTATCACTGGCAGCATCTTCTTACTTGTGCTCCCTTTCCTTGGGCGTAATGCATACTTCTTCTCCAATTTTTGAGACCCTTTTTTCCTCAATTTCTCCCTCTGTATTGTCAGCTTCTCGAGATGTTCTTCCAATTCTCTTATTTCTTCTGGATAAGTCGACTTCTCCAAGCATGATATGCATCGATCCATGTCTTTTTCTATTTCTTCAGTAGTCATTGGAGGATAAAATCCTCTTGAACATGAAGCACCTTTAATCTCCCACTCTTCATCGCTGTCTCCATCTTCACTTTCATCGGAGATCTGATCTCCTGTATCCTTCTTCTTCCAACTTTCATCACCCCTTCTTTCCGCTCTGGCCAGCCTCCGTCTGATCACAGGATCATATCCACCCATGATCTCTTCTACATCACTCTGTTCATCATCATCTTCCATTCTCCTAAGCCTCGCTCTACCCTTAGTTTCCCAAACGTGTCATTTTCTTCTTACTTTTGGAGCTTGGAGTCATCTTTATAGTTGTTTCTGCTTGTCCTCTCTCTATGATCGTTCATCTTCATCTCTGATGCAATAACCACCCTCCTGAATGATCACTGGAAGCTGAGGATAGACATCCTTAAACTCCGCTTCCTCCTCGTATGGTGGAGGTCTCTTTGCTGAATCCGTATGTGAGAAGGGTTTGTTGACTTCTGCCATTAATTTTTCTGTTATCTTTGCCTCTTTTGCCATTTTCTCCACACCACTGTCCCTTTTCTCTTGCGTCTCTTTCATCAGTTTTTGACCTTCATGTTCGAACAACTTAAGAACACCCAGCTCTCTTCGTCTCTTCTCTTTACGTCGTTCCCCTTTTTTCCCCTTGTTTTGATCCGACTTATATGTGGACACAAGTACTTGCATTATTTTAAGTACACCTGGGTTAAGAGTCCCTTCCACAGGCCATGGTTGTTCAATATTAGGCCAACGCTTATGCCATTTTTCAGATAACTTTACAATACCATCAACTAGAGGATTATTTTTTTGCACTACATCAACCGGAGTAGTTACTTTCAACGTTTTAATGTCCTTTTTCCGCATAGTGACAACTTTTTATATTTCTTTATTGTAAATTATTTTCCTTATTACTTATTTGTTTATTTTTCTTTTAATTCTACTTAATTGTTGATAGGTGGCAATCTTACCACATCCGCTAACGGAAAATCAAGGGAATTTGTCAACTCCAGAGCAATCACAAAAATCTTGTTATCCAGCAATCACACGGCCAACTCCTACCTAATAAGCACCCTCTCACCTTAGTTTTGTCCCAAAAGCTCAATACCACTCAATTCCCAACACAACTTGACTTCAAACGACCCCTGCACAAAAACTCCCATATGTAATATTCAAATACAGTAACTGATCAGTCCGTTGCCAAGTCTCCCCTTAGATAGTCATAACATGAAATATGGCAGGCATACACAAATAGACTCTCTGTGTTACAAATGTGTCTATAATATCCTGAAAGGAAACAAACTAAATGTGTATCAGCCGTAATAATTATAAATGAGTATAGACACATATGCACAGGTGTTTGTAAAGAGTTTGTGGATTGCACAATACTGGCCAGACTGGATCCGGGGCTGCTTTGCTGTGGCGCGCTGGACGGCACCCCCTCTCTCTCCTTCTCTCTCTCTCTCTCCTTCTTGTCTCTCAGATCACAGGAGAACAAAAAAAAAAAAGGCAAACAACACTTTAGTCCTTTTATGTACTCACAAGGTTATTTTCCCCCCAAAATAAGAGTGTCACCTCTCTGAGTAATCATAATCTATTTTCCCTAACTTTTTAACATATCTACGTTCACATGCAAGCTAAGGAATTTCGGTGTCATTTACACTGGGGATGCTGGGGACACTACTCTTCACTCCTATTTAAAGCTTACTCTATTAACAGCCGTTCTTCAATACCAATGAAAATGCCTTTTAAAATGTATTTACACACATAAAAAACCCCAAATGAAAAGTAAGTAAAATATAGAAAAACAAATGCACTTCCCAAAAAAGTAACTTAGGCTAAGAAAAAACCCCACTGCTGCTTCTGAAATGACCCAAACCATACAGCAGCATTAATCAATAACTTTAACAAATTTCAAAACACAGTTTTCCCCTTGATCAAATTCCCTTCTCTATTTCTTTATTCATATATATGTTTTCTTGAATCCTAGCATTATTGTCCTCTGCATAGTCTCACACACACACTAGGCTTCTCCTATTTCTCACACACACAACCGAGACACAGCAGGGCAGCTCTCCACACACACACACACACATAGCTATCCAGTCAACAAGAATGCATTTCTTCACACTGTTTATAAAGCATGCTTCCGCCGCACCTTTTTCCTTTATTATTTTCCTTCCTAAATTTATGCTACC